AAATTGGCAGTCTTCCAAAGAGCAATGGAGCGATGGATTTTTGGCGTCAACAAGCTACAGCACATCCCAAATGAAGTGCTGCGAGCCAGATCTGACGTGAAAGACATTACTGAAGCAATGTACACCAGTAAGAAGAGGTGGGCCTGGTCATGTGGCATGGGTGACAGATAATAGACGGACGAGACGGATAATGGAATGGCATCCGCGCACGGTCAAACGAACACTGGAGAGGGCACCAGTGAGGTGGAGAGACCCCACTGGTACGCCTGTTTGGTATCGCATGGAACTCGAAGAGCGCAACAACCAATGGAGAAGAATGGAGAAGTTGCCAGTGTTGCATCGATGGCATGACAATGGTAAGAAATGTATACTACTTAATGGATCGAAACATTTTTTACCCAATTTATTACTTCTTTTTACAACTTTCCTTTTTTACTCTTTTTTGACCTTTTCTATCATCCATTTCTACATTTTTCGCCGAAATTTTCACTTAACCTTAAATAAATGAACATCGATGACATGCAGCTGCTCAAGTATTCAAATAAGTATGGCACTTAAAAAGTGATACCTCTTGCTCCATAGCGTTTGATTTTTTCTCCATCATAGTGATACGATAGCATTCAAACGGTGTTGCCCATTCCTCCAACATCTTTAGCACTTTTGCTAAACGTTGTTTCGATTCTTGATTAACGCCAGTTTCGCCAATTGTGTAGATATCAGGAGAAGGAGAAGCAGTACGGGCGTTGCTGCTTTTGTTGCCACCTTCTAGATCTTTACCACCCCCAAATTTCTCATAAGCAATATTGCGAATTTCTTCATTATATTTGGTTGTTGAAAAATCCAGGTGACACCTAAAATTTGTACAAAAAATCCACCATCTTTTTCGAAATCCATGATGGATTTTTTGAAAAAATCATGGTTTTTTTTTCATGGGAATCGTGGGCATCACAATAACGAATGATATTTAATAATTCTCAGTATCGGTTAATATCTAATAATTCTTAGTTTCGGACGATATCTCTTAAATCTAAGTTGCACTATCATGCCTTTCTACGATGTACTGTTTTAGGCCTATAGTGGATGATTCTGCCAACACATAAAAGGCGTGGTTGTTTCGTGCGGTAAAATCTATAAACTCATCCCACTCACGTTATTTATTGATAAAAATCGAAATACCAGTCTACAATTGAAAATTAGCAAAACTGAATTTGGAAATGAAATTATTTTGGGAAATATGTGAAGAATTCCTTAAATTACCATTCTACACCTTTCTTTGATTCCCTTTCAACCTGAATTTAAGTCAAAGGAAAACAAAAAATATGACCCTAAAAACTGATTTTAGGCTTCCGTCTCCACAAGAAACTAAAAGCTATGTCCCCAAAATCTGAGTTTTTCAGTTTCCATCAGCAGATGAACTCTTGAGAAATAAAAACACAAAGACATGAACTTATTCAAAAAGTGAACAATCCTATTCATGCGCGTTGCTCTTCTCTACAGTTGTAGTAATGGTAAGAAATGTATACGACTTAATGGACCGAAATACATTTTACCATTATAATAATCTTATAAATTTTCTAATTTCCATTTCTCACCTTTCTTTCCCTCTTTCCTCTTTCTTCCCTTTTCTTTCCTATTATAACTTTCTTTCTCATAATGCCCTAATAAACAATTAAGTATTTAAATGGCGCCAACCTCAACAAAGCTTTCACTGCATCCATCTTATTCAAGCGCGAAACGACATTCTCGAACGTCAGTGTGCCAATAGTTGGAGCAGAAATTGCTCGTTTCACCAGAGGCTGATCACGGGCCGTGCTGATGATACGGTGTAGCGCATGCAGTTCCTGCTTCACATGTAACGGTACCGGACTACAGCACGCCAGGATTCCTTGCATTTCACGAGGCAACATCTGGAACAAAAAAACGCCCTTTTTTGTAGCAGCCCATCGATAGGAGGAGAAATACCCCATTTCAAACATTCCCGGCAACCACCAAAAGGGTAATCCTACCCGTTTTTTAGGTCCCATTTACTCGAAAGATTTTTTCTTTTTGTGGATTTAAGCGTCGAAATTTGGCTTTTCTGAGCCCTTGGAAAAGAAGAGAAATACCCCATTTCAAACATTCCCAGCAACCACCAAATGGGTAATCCTACCCACTTTTTAGGTCCCATTTACCCGAAAGATTTCTTTTTTCTTTTTGTGAATTTAAGCGTCAAAATTTGGCTTTTCTGAGCCCACGGAAAGGAATAGAAATACCCTATTTCAAACATCCCCAGCAATCACCAAAAAGGTAATCTTACCCATTTTTTAGGTCCCATTTACCCGAAAGGTTTTTTCTTTTTGTGGTTTTAAGCATCGAAATTTGGCTTTTCTGAGCCCTTGGAAAAGAAGAGAAATACCCAATTTCAAACATCCCCAGCAACCACCAAAAGGGTAATTCTACCCATTTTTTAGATCCCATTTACCCGAAAGATTTTTTCTTTTTGTGGATTTACGCATCGAAATTTGGCTTTTCTGAGCCCGCGGAAAAGAAGAGAAATATCCCATTTCAAACATCCCCAGCAACCACCAAAAGGGTAATCCTACCCATTTTTTAGGTCCCATTTACCCGAAAGATTTTTTTCCTTTTTTTGGAGTTAAGCGTCGAAATTTGCCTTTTCCGGATCGACTTAAATTTTTTTTTTCTTAAATGCCTTTTTTAGAGTAGCCCTTCGATAGGAGAAATACCCTATTTTCAACCCCCTTGTAACCGCCAAAAAGGCACTATTAGCAATTTTTGTGGCCCACTTGCTCAAAAAATTTTTCCTTTTTGTAAACTTAAACGTAGAAATTCGGTTTTTCCGAATACATTTAAATGATTTTAAAGACAAAAATATTCTTCAGTTACAAGGCCTTTTTTCCAGGCAGATTCCATTCCCCTTTGATCAAATATCTCGCTCAGCCTCAGATAATTTTTCACATTTTTCACCCCAAACAGGTGATTTTCATGCCTTTTCAAGGAAAAACAGGAAATTTTTAAGATGCAAACTATGAATATCACTGGCTCGGGGACTGGAAGAAGCGGGGGCCTGGAGTTTTCTATTCGTTCATAGTTTGTTTGGCACTATTGGCCCGCCGATGAGAGGGACACAGTCGAATATTGACAGTTGTGGGAAAGCAGAAAGTGCCAATTTAGATACCCAGATAAGCGAGCCTGTATGTGCATTAGCTGTTGTCCTGTCTGTGTTTCATCCCTAAACTGTAAACACAGACGGTAGAGCCGGTACGGAAAGGGGTGAACTGCTGGTTCTCAGCTTACTTCTGACCAGACATATATGTTGCCAGAAACTTTAAAATAGTAAGTACTAAATAAACTAATAATAATAATTACCTCAGCCATATGTAGCATCATGTGATTGGGGAGGACGAACTGAAGGCTCTCATCATCGTCTCTTGCACGTTCATCACGCCACTTCCACAACGCTTCCAGAGCGAATTCTTGACGGGAATTCAGTGGTTTTTTGCCAACCAACAAACTCTTGTAACCATCATTCTCGAATACTGGCTGCTCGAAAACCTGCACAAATTCCTTCTTCGAGACAAAAAAAAAACTATTTAACAGATAAGTAGCAATAGTAGAGTAAGAAGATTGGATTAGGTGTCATGTATAAAAAGATATTTAACGATGCAGTCTGTGTTTCATCCCTTAGCTGTAAACAGTGCATGCGGGGGTAGGAATAGGAATCGTCAGTACCGCCTCCTACCCGCCACGTATTGAAAGGGCATGTAACTAATTTGCTAGACGGATATGTGAAAGAAAAACAGAGAGAGAGAGAGAAGGAGAGAAAGTGTAATAGCATAAAAGCAATAAGAATGGCAGAGCAGATGGAAGAGGAGAAAACTAATATATGAACAGGGAATAATTCTTTGTAGTTATTGGGAGGCAACATTCATGAGAATAACTTACTAACTAGGCAACTCAACCATAAGCGGGTCCAGAACGGACTCCTCTGGGAGGGGGGAGGGGGGAGGTTGGGGAAGGGAAGATGGGGGATGGGTAGCAAAGTCCCCTCCCATCTTGAAACTATGCAAAAAACAGGAATAGAGTTGTAACACTGCTACTAAGAGTTACTTTAGGCTTTAGTTAACTTCAGTTTTAGTTTTAGACCCGGACTTTTGCAGCACTGGTGCCTGTGTCGCTGAGGAGGAAGACCCAAGGGTCCCTTCTCCCC